AGCCTCGGACCATGGACGAACAACCATGAAACATATCGAGCAAGGTTGCCGAAGCGGAAACATATTGTAATTGCAGCATCTCAGGATTAAAAGAGTGTTGACATTCAGTTCGGATCTGGGCGATATTTATGTAAAAAAAAAGAAAAAAAAATGAAATATTTGAACAGCAAGATAACAGATACACAAAAAAATAATAATAATGGACGGAGAATACGCATCTCAACTTCATTTTAACCCAAAAAATTTACCCTTATACAGTGGCAGGAGACCATGCTAAAGTTAACTGGGAAAATGAGCAGTCTGTTCTGGCTATAAATACGATTCGCGGACCTCACAGCCGAAGTGATAACCAGTGAGAATTCGGGGGAACAACGGAACGAAGCTAGTTTAACAGACAAACGTTCAGAGCCTGAACAGACTGGTCCCTGTGAGCGCGGCAGTGAGGCGTCCTACAGAGGAGTGGCCATAGAAAGCCTGGGATCTGAAGTGTTTCGCGGAGAAGTTCATTGTTTGAACGAAAGCATTAATTCCTAAAAAGCAACAGTCGGGAAGTGCACTTCGGAAAAGACAGCGGGACGCACGCTAATCAGTAATCGTCGGCTCAGCAGTTCCTTGGAATCCAGTGGTTGCTGCTGCTATCGTTGTTGTTGCTGCTGCTGTCATCAGATTTGATGGAGCTTTACGATAAAGCACTGTTTCGCAACGTACCGATGATGTGGGTCGTATCATGCCCTGATCAACCCTGGAATATGAGGTTGTCTTCACTTCTTACTGGAAATGTTTCAGATTTACAAAAGTGAATTCACAGAACCTGACCGCCTTATGTTCCGACTGAAAATTCACTGTGTTCAGAGAATTTTTTCCCTCGGGGACTCTTAGTGCATGTCTGAACGCCTTGCTAGGTGCTTCTGCCGACAGAAATGATAAGCTGATAATTCCTTTAAGAGATGAATGAAACAAACGCCAAAATTGCGACAGGCTGACCTCTAGGCATTCCAGCACTGGACAAAGTAACTCTACATTGATGAAGGTTCACGTTCTGAAGTAAAGTTGTTTCAGCTATTTCAAATCATCTACTGCGGTGGAGCAGGGAGGAACAAGAGACGGAGTAGTAGAATATCTTAACAAATTATCATTTGAATATCTGATGCCATAAGCATTTTACCAGTCCCACTTTCTTTCTCGTCGACCCTCAGACATGGATTATCTGGAACTTCTCTTATTCCACAGTCCAGATTTCCATCCAGTCGCTATCTTCCGGGTTCGCTTAGCCCGCATTTCTGTGATCTCTCAAAAATGAGCGTCAAATTTCATCTTCAAGATCCGGCAGTGGATGCAAAATGCCAGCTTTAAAAGCATCGAAGGAGAAATGTAACCTTTCAGCTTTTCTTCGACATCCAAAT